GAGCCGTGCGGAGGGCTGAGCCGCAGGTCCGCAGCAGCGCAGCGAGGCTGCAGGACTGCCCTGGTCTCAGCGCTGTGTACAGACACGGCACGCATGGGTACAGCCAGAGAAAAACCATTCTGTGTCTCTGACCCTGTCATCCTCCCAGACTTCTTTCCTCCCCTCTCCCAGACTGTATATAAAACCAGGAATATGTTAAAATCTCAGCAGCAGTTTTGGGTGCCCAACCTGTAACAGTGACTTCATCTTCAGACGAGCACATTTTGCAAGTCAGAGCGGCTCAGTTTGGGCTGCAGCCTTTATCGATTGCTGACTTTTGGGTTCTTTCCATTTACGCAGTTCCCCGCTTCTTGGAGCCCACCCAAAGCCGTTTTACAAGCATGAGATAACCGAATTTTCTGAAACAAGTTGGCAGAGCCACTGCACAGTGACATAGCTGGTTTCTCCGAGTAAGCAGCTACAGCCTTTTCCCGGTGATGAAAGAAGGTGGCTGTGCTGTAAATATTCCAAATGCAGACAGCAGACAGCAGACCTGCTGGCAATTCAATCACATTTCTGCTCCACTTGTCTTTTGCCTTTTTCTTTGGGGGGGGAGGGAGGGTAAAGACAGATTTTACCATTTTAGGTGATGCTTCACTTTGCTTACGAGCTGAATTTTAAGAGACCCGAGTGTGCTAAATGGGATGGAAGAAAGAAAGAGAAACAAATTCACTGAAAGGAGATGGGAAGTCGGATGCAGCACAAAGCAAGGCCGAGCTGGATGACAGAGGGAGAGCAATACGCTGCTCTCCAAAGCAGAAAAACTGCCGATCGCAGCAAGCTGCAGGGCACAGACAGCAACCGGGGTGTGAGGCGGTCTGTAAACCATCCACAGAGTTTTTAATTACCTTTTTAAGAAACACATTGCTTGCTGAAGTGCTGTATCTGTGTCAGCCTATTAATTCAGGCAAACATCACACAGTCCTAGCAGATCTCCAAAGAAATGCTCCTGTGCGTTGTACTTGCTTGCAATAAGCTTTCTCTGAGAAACACATTCGATAAGAGCAGCCAGCACGCCAAGTTCAAGGCACATGTAAAGCAGAACAGATTTTTCCCAGAGTTGTGGTTGCAAGTACAAGCAGCAGAATATAAATTGCTAAAGATGCCTACGTGAGAGTCAGCAAAAACACTGCCGAAGTTTATAGCTCCCCGAGACAGAGACCAGAGTGTCCTGCCGCCACGGGAGAGTTACGGGCTTTGATTTGTGAAGCTGAGAACTGAATGATGAATCTGGCTCCCACTTAATTCTTCCTATTTTCAAGAAAACGTCTATTTTCTCTGCTAGCCCTTCTCATCAGGACAGTGCTACACAGAAAGATGGAGCCCAGCTCGCCATCACCACCTCAAGGCAAAAGCAGCTGCAACAAAATATTAACAGAAGGGCAGATTCAGACCAGGGCAGCAGTAAGCCTGGATGTACTAGCTGGTAAACCAGGAATACAAGAGCAAATCTGTATGTCAGAGAACCTGTGCCAGAGACAAAAGAAACACCACATTCTGGAGAGAAATCCCTCCCAAGTAAAGGGTAAGTGATGTAGAAAAAGAAATGACAATCCCCTGTTAGTTAGTGCACAGACAGCAAGAACAGATGATGGATTTCTCCAAGAAACACTGAAGCTTCTGCTAATCTTCTTACAACGCTGGTCTCCTTCCTTCCTTCCCTGAGCTCCTAGCACCTGGAGACTGAAGCAGCTGAGGCAAACGCCATGCGCCCAGCCCCAGAGGGAACACCAAGCATCCGTAAAGCTTGCTGAAGTTTCACATTCTCACACTTCAGTGACCCAGCACTGGGAAAGCACTTGCCTAAAAGACACTCACCTACGCGCGTCAAAACTTGGCACCGCATTTGAAACTAAACACTACAGCTGCCCCCTTGTCAAAGTGGATTCAAGGCATTCCGTCTTGCTGTTAGCACACCAAGAATCGAGATGCGCAGCCCCAGGAGCTGCAGCGGGCCACAGCGGGTTCCCTCCATCCCCATCGGGTCCTCCTCCCCTAAGCCCACGTCCCCAGACGCGCAGTACCAATGCGAGCTGGCAGACAGTGACCACCGGGTGCCTGGCGCCCGCAAACGCGGCGCTGATGGTCGTGAACTGGGGCGGTGCCGGCTGCGGCTCCTCTCCACGCCCGCAAACGCGGCGCTGATGGTCGTGAACTGGGGCGGTGCTGGCTGCGGCTCTTCTCCAGCAAAGCCTGCCGAGGGCAGAGGCCGCTGCGCTGGCCCTCCGGCTCTGCTCGTCTCAGCCCAAATTCTCTGTCTAGTTTAGGAGTGACTCTGAACTGCACTGACTGGACTAGGAACTGCAGCGACAGTTTTCTTGGAAGCCAGGACAGACTTTTGGTTCTTCCAGCTCTGGATAACCTGGGTAAGGGAAGCCAGGCTCGGGTCTGGCTTCCTGCACACAAAAAGGTGCGTTCAGCATACGTTAGCCACACAGATACCCAGACTCTAAAAATGTTCGGAATAGCTTTTCTTAAGAGCACAGAATCGCTATCCCAAACACTGCAGCAATTTAAAAAATTCTTATCACACATCTCTCTCCCTCCCTATCTCTC